GCATGTTCTAATCGCTCTAATAGGATATTATGGTCGACAGTATCGAACGCTGCACTGAGGTCTAGCAGGACAAGCACAGAGATGAGTCCACTGTCAGAGGCCATAAGAAGATCATTTGTCATTTTACATTTTGAGAGAAACCAATTGAGTCTAATAACAGATTAAATGCCATGTTGAGGCTGTCATTTTTAGCATCTACATGGATGTTAAAATCACCCGCAATAATTATTTTATCTGAGCTCAGAACTAAATCGGATAAAAAGTCTGAGAAATCAGACAGAAACTCCGTGTAAGGCCCAGGTGGACGATAGATGATAACAAGTACGACTGGTTTCTGAGTTTTACAGCTGGGGTGGACGAGGCGAAGCATCAGGCTTTCAAATGAATTAAAAGTCTATCTGGGTCTTTGGTTGATTACTAGGGTGGTGTGAAAACTTGCTGCCACACCGCCCCCTCGGCCTGTGCGTCGAGGTTTCTGGCAATTATGTGTCAGTGAATGGTAAAAATGTGTTATCTGCAAAACCAGTGAGGTTTAGCTACTTCATGTTTTTGTCTCCATGTAGACGGGAGTACGAGCAAAGTCGGGGCCGGAGCAAACCTCGCAGCCGTAGTCCCGACCGGAGTCGGGCCAGGAGTCTTGGAAGGAGCAAGAGCCGTCCCCGTAGCCAGAGCCGCAGTCCGAAACGGAGCCGGGCCAAGAGCCGGGGCCGAAGCCGCAGTCCGGACCGGAGCAGGGCCAAGAGCAGGGCCAAGAGCCAGAGCCGCAGTCCAGACCGGAGCAGGGCCAAGAGCAGGGCCAAGAGCCAGAGCCGCAGTCCAGACCGGAGCAGAGCCAAGAGTCGGGGCCGCAGCAAGAGTCGCCCCCGCAGCAGGTCTAAATCTAGATCCAGGTCTCGATCCAGAGGAAGGAGTCGAGGACGAAGCTACAGCAAAGGGACGAGCTATGCTCGCAGTAAGAGCCGTCAGAGGAGCCGCAGTCGCAGTGCAAGCAGCAGCTCAAGCAGCCGCAGCAGAAGTGGTGCCACAGATTTGAATAAAGGGTTTAAGGAGCTAGAAATGGCTCGCCGCAGGAAGGAACTTGAGGAGCTGCTCACGTTACCAACAAAGTCCATCCTGAAGAAACGCAGCTCCGAGGACTCGCCATCAGTCAGGGTAAGTTTGCAGACAGTGTTTCAGTCGGTGTTTCGATACATGCTTCTGTTAGCCAAAAAGCAGAGATGACCACGGCGGAGTTCCTCAAAATGACCATCATAGTATTTCTGTTACAGAGCACGGACTCTCCTCAAACTCAGGATGGCTCCATGTCCCGACTGGCCGATCAGCTCCTGCAGGCTGTCAAAGGCGCTGACCCTCGCATGGTGGCGTCCATGCTTGCGGAGCTGCGGTCTGATCCACAGATGGCTCGCCGTGCTGGCCTCGACGCTGAGATCAAAGAAATCCTCAGCCTGCTGGGTATGACAACGCCGGGGCCCAGGACTCAGGAGAAGGTGCTGGACGACATTGACGACGAGGAGAGATTCCTGTATGGCGATTTGGAGGAACCCAAACCACCGCCGGCGCCAGAGCCAGTCTTGACCCACAGTCTAGACTTGTATGGAGACGTAACTGAGGAGGCGCTGTATGGAGACTACCCACAGCAGAAACTGGTCTCTGCTCAGACACACGGATGTACCCTTCAGCCCCCTCACTCCACGGACAGTTATGTGAGCCGGCCCGCCATCAGCCCCGACCACAACGCCACGGCCCAGGTGTCGAACCCCGCTCACCCACCGGGGAACGAGCCCCTGGAGGAGAGCGAGCGCCAGGCACTAGAAGAGTACGAGAAGATCCAGGATCTGCTTAAAACCATCGGTCTGGACCTTGGAGTGGCCGAAATTACCAAGATGGCCGCCAGGACCAAAGAGCGTCTCCACGGGAAGAAACCCCCTGCAAAGACGCCCACGCGGCGCAGACGGTACTCCTCTGACAGCTCTGATGGCAGCCGGCAGGGCCGTAGGTCACGAAGCCACAGTGGCAGCTCTAGCAGCACCAGCCGGAGCCGGAGCCACGGACGCGGTGCCACTGGCGCCGGCTGGAGCAGCGACGAGGATGACCGCAGGAAGAGCTCAGCTTCGCTCAAATCTCACCAAGACTGTGACATTAAAGAGGAGAAAGGCGAGTGGAGCAACACGGCAGCGCCGCCCTGTCAGACTCCAGAGCCAAGCTGCCACCCCCCTCATCCAGGTGTACCCATCCCCACCTACCCCCCTTCGCAGGTCCCCGCCATGATGCACCCCAGCTACCCGCCACCTGTGTACAGTCAGTATGGGAATTACTTGCCCTTTGTACCCCAGCAGTGGCCCCCCACATATCCACCCCCAAACATGAGGATGCCTCCTCCTACAGTTGCTGAGGAGTACCCTCCCACACTACCCTACAAACAGGATTATACCCCTGAGCCAGGGGTCAAAGGTCAGTCTCCTTTTAAAGAACTCTTATCACATTTAGTCTGAGCATGACGATTATTTGCGGGATGTTTTCCTCACCGCTAACCAGGTGGCCCTGTCCCTTCCTCTTGTGGATCCTTGCGTGTAGGTTGCTGTAGTGTTTGTCCTCTCACTTCTCCCCCTGCCACCTCTGCAAAACAGCATGTAGGAGACACGGCTGACTATTGAACAGTTACTGATTTGTCACAGAGACTCTGCATCCTCATTGGTCAACAAGTTGTGATTAAATGTTCATTATCCAATGATTGTCCCCTGCTTAAAAACAATGCAGCTTTAAGAAGCTACTTCCGTTTTTATATACAGTTTGTTTGCTTCAGAGTACTTAGCCATTTTTATTAGCTGTGTTACTTAATAGGTTGAGAAGGCTGAAATGTGCACTACACAAATGTTTGCACATAGAAACGAGTCATTCAGTCATAAACATTCAGGTAGTTTTAAAATGTGTTGTTACTATTTTTACCCGCCTCCATAATCAGTGTAACACATGGTTGGCCACAGTTGAATCCAGTGTACAGAACTGGCGAGCGCTGGAAGAATAAACTGGATTCATCGACCAGCGAGAGCAGGATGAGCAGCTGTGGGTCAGTCGGTGTAAATAAATGTGTCTGTCCATCCTCAGGTTTGGTGAAGAGCTCCACCCAACACGCAGAGAAGGGGAGCGCCAAAGCTGCGAGAGTGTCTGAGGAGCAGAACAACGAGAGCCAGAAACAGAAGGTCAGCCTCCATCGCTTCTTCCCACGTCTTTGCATTTACGTCAGAAGGAAGTTTATGCCTCCACATCCTTTGGCTCCACCTGAAAAACTGAGATGTGGATCATTCCGAGAAGGAAAGATGTAGATTTGGGTGGAGCCTCTGACTCACAGATTCAGCTGATTGGATGTTCACACCTGTGACTGTGTTGGTTTGTTCAGGTTCTAGAAGAGAGAGAGAAGCTGAAGCAGGAGCGAGAGATCAGGATGAAGAAGAAGGAGTATCTGATGAAGGAGCTGGAGAGACTCAGGAAGCAGCAAGGTGTGTTACTGTGTTACAGGTGATTTATGCTCCGCCCACGCAGCAATCCCAGCCAGCATGTGGTGGGATGTTCTATAAAGCTGGTGTTGGTTTTAAGTTTATTAATTAAGTATAAAATCAGACACTTTTCTCAGCTGAAATGAGACTGGAGATCCTCAGGGATCACCTCTGGGACTTTTTTTAATTTGTTTTTATTCAACATGTGCACAGCTGTGTACAGCTGATCATTTCAGAAACCTGCCGCTGTAGAAAGTTTCATTTGGTGTTTGTTGTTTTAGGTGTGACATGAAAACATGGAGCTGCAGGAGACGCCTTCTGATCGATGGAACGTCACTGATGGCGCTTTGACATTTGCCCTGCAATGTTTTTCAGGCGAGCTGCTGAGGAAGAAGCGCCGGGAGAAGGATGGCCACAAGGACCCTCTGCTGCAGGAGATCAGCCACCTGCAGGAGGAGGTCATGGCCCAGATCTCCAACCTCCGCAAGGAGCACGAGGCTGCCGAGAAGAAACGCAGCGAGATCGAGAAAGTGGCACTCATCCTTGGCTTGAACCCGTCGGACCGACCCCGCAGGACCAGCAAACCGCCTGAGGTCCAGAAGGCTGAGCAGCAGACTCCACCACAGAAGAAGAAACGTGAGGCGGAAAGGAGCCCAGAAGGCCAGCCGGCGGCCAGCGGCCCCATGATGAAGGTACACTCACCTGCAGAGGAGGTAACAGGAAGTGATATCGGAGTTAGAAAGCATAGCTAGGGTCAGTTATTGATCAGAGTTTACTCAGACGAGATGTGTCGAGAAGCACCGAGAACATGTTCCTTTATTCACTCAGTAAGGTTCACCTGCAGACCACTTTGTCCTCTAGAGCTGTTATTTTGAATTCAATGCTTTTATTTCGGAAGATTTTACTTTGCTTGTAGTTTTGTCTGCCTCATCATCACGTCGGCAGTGAAACTAGTTTCACTGAACATTAGTTGTTTTAATGGTTTTATATAAAAATGCTAATATAAGAAGTTTAAATGTTTCATGACAAGATTCTGCGATCTTGTCGCGTTAGACTGGAAATAGATAGCTCAGAGAAATGAAATGTTTTTAAAGCTGTGCTAACAAACAAGAAGTTTATCGGACATGTAAAGGATTTGTATAATCGCTGGGTGGAGCTAAAGCCTCACTACTGTCTCATGTAAATTAGTTTAATCCATTCATCATCATAGAAATGTCTTTGTACTTTTACTACTGTTTGTTTTCGTTACATTGAGAGTGAGAGCACGTTTTAATGCAGCTGTAGTAACAATAAGACGGTTTGAAAACATTTCTTTGTGGTCGAGTGATGTAGTTTAGAGGACCAGTTCAGCTCAGCAAGCTGTGAAACATAGAAACAGGAAGTCAAAAAAGTATTTCTAGAAAATAAAATATTATTTGAATTCCATAAAGGATTAGCATATGGGCTCAAATTGTGGTCATAAATATTTTGTACTTGTAAATCAGTTTTGTATGTGTAAAAAGATTTGTGTGTGGACTTAGCCAAAAAATAAGTGTGAAACTCTGCTTTCAAGTTACAAGTACGAATTTTGACCCTATTTTTCTTCCTTTCAGCTGATTGGTCAATGTCATGTCAATCACAAATTTATCTATCCAATCAGAGAACAGATGGGCTTGGCTGTCGGAGGTTTTTTTTTTTTAACTGCAGGTCGGTCCTGGAAGGGTGATACAGTTTGAAGCTGGAGGATCTCTATATAAATATCCGATAGCAGCTAGGTCCCCTAACTTTCAGCAGCTGTTGAAAGGAACAAGTTGTGGTATATCAGTGGTTAGAAATGCATTATTACTTTAGGATTAGTTTAACACAAAGTCAGGGCTGACCCAGGACCATTGCTGTGAGTCACAGTGCGCAGCATAAAAGTCCTTTCACATCGGACGCAGCATGTGCTGCTAATGCTAACTGCTAACTAAAAGCCAAGGATCCAGAATCTGTTGCTGGCTGCTGGGCTCTGTGTGCAGCAGCTCTACCTGTACTAGATGCACCTGCTCCTTGTCGTTTCTGTCTCTGACTTTATGTCCTCTACAAGAGTTTCTGTTTTGTTTTTTGTTTTTATCTTCAAATGTTCAACAAAAACATGTATCGCTAGTTCATAATGAAGAAAGCTTTGTAACTATCCCCACTAGTGAAGACTGTCATTTCCACAAACCCAAGCCCATCTGTTCTCTGATTGGATTGTAAAATTTGTGATTGACATGACATTAGCCAGTGAGATGAAAGGAAGAAAAATAGGGTCAAAATTCGTACTTGTAACTTGAAACTTGAGTGTAGAGTTTAAGTGCATTTTTTGGCTAAGTCCACACACAAATCTTTTTTACACATACAAATCCTGATTTACAAGCACAAAACTTTTATGACCACAATTTGAGCCCATATTAGCAAGCTAACGTACCTCTGCAAACATGTTCACAGACAGTTTAGGAGGATTCACGTGTGCTTGTGTCGGGCTTTAATGCGCTCTACTCTCATTCTGTGTGTTTGTTGTGGGACTGGACTGTCATGGCCGCCAACATTTATGCCTGCGCATGGCGAAGCTCCACCAGTTTGGAGTAGTTGGAGGTGGAGTTTCTCTCTTTGAGGTGATTCAATTCAGTTTTATTTACACAGCGCCAAATTACAACAGTCACCTCAAAGCGCTTTATACTGTAAGGTAGACCCTACGATAACACATACAGAGAAAACCCAACAGTCCTGTGACCGCCTACGAGCGAGCGCTTTGGCAACAGTGGGAAGGCCGCACTGAGTCGTAGTCGACTGTGATGATAAATGTTTCGTGTTTCTAGGACGGTCACAGCGTCCAATTTCAGAAGCGTTTGCATTTATGACAGTGCAGCTTGCCTCATCAGTGATTGGTTGTTGAAGTTGTGACAGCCCCATGAGCCAGGTTATACAAATCGATGATGATCAGTAACTGCTCGCTGATCATTTGGTGCACTTAAGCAGCGCTGTTGGTTTGAAGAGCGCCCCATCCTCGTCTAGATACATCCAACGTCAGGCAAAAAAAGCAGCACATACGTGTGAATCTACACATGGTCTCAGCTCATTAATGTGCCGAAAGTCCTCCATCAGCACCCCAACAGAACGTGGCGGTGTCCTGGGCTGCTGATGGGTTAAACAGACATTTGAATGTTTGCTGTGAGTAATTATGTGTTTCCTTGAAACCCGCCTCGAGTAGTTAAACGTCAGTTTATTCTAATCAGTTTATTAAAACACGTGGGTCGGGTGCTAGGTAGTGAGAGAAATCAACATGAATCAGCTCCTGGCTCACGTTTACAGCTGCTGCTCGGCTGGTTTGGCCGTCACACGCTGGGTTTCAGCATCAGGAAGGTGTGACGCCACCAAGGCGTGGATACTGGACGAGTCAAATCCAGATTATTGATTGCGTTAATGAGCGACTAGTCATGAAAACAACGCTGCTGAGCGGAGGGTTATAGACTGAATTTAGACTGTTGAGTTTCATTGTGACCGCTGCAAGTTTGTGCTCAAGTTGAAATTTTGCGTAAGAAGTTACTGCCGCTATAAAAACCGTCTGAGGGATACACGTTGACATCTTCAATGCAGAGTCACACAAGGTAAGAAACTCTTTAAAAGGAGCTCCTGTTTTTGCTCTGAATGCAGGCTGTCGGTCTTCTCCCCGCCATCTTGACTCTCCATCATTTTTCTTTCTTTGTTCTTGTTTAGCAGACTTCCGTGACTCTGTCGCCTTCGAAGGCGTCCCTGCACACGCCGCCCGACGCCACTGCAGCTCCAGCCCCGCCCCCTGAGCCCTTTGAATACTATGACGCTGGAAACCACTGGTGCAAAAACTGTAATGCTACGTGTGGTTCCATGTTTGATTTTTTCACACACTTGCACAGCAAAACGCACCTAAAGGTTGGTTTTCACTTTAAAGCATCATCGCCCACATTGTCTGAAATTCTCCCTCTTTGATATTCAGTTGATATTCATACCTCGGCAGGCTCCTCGTGTTTGCTCTGTTACATTTCATGTTCTTCTCCGTCCCTCAGACTCTGGACCCGTATGACCGACCCTGGGCTTCCACTCCGAGCAAAATCAAAAAGAACCAGCTGCCAGACGAGAAGCTGACTAAACCCGCTAAAGGTACTTGTGCTGCACCTTCAGAGGATCCTGCAGACGTATCACAGTCTGTTTTTTGAACCACTGAATTTTGTTAGCCATATTTTGGTTCCAGGTGGAGCTCAGTGTGGATCTCTGCTGCCATTTCTGTCTCTTAATGAAAACAGTGATAATGAAGTGATTCGCATCGAAGCATAGGGGAGACTGCTGTCCGCACCTCCAGTGCTGATTCGTTTCCTTTTCATGCCTCACATGGCTCTGAAAGCTGCTGAAAATGCAACAACAGTTGGTAAAGTGCGCTAAGTTCTTGGTGCAGGTGTGTCCGTATCACCCCAAAAACAGCTTGACTGCATCTCCTGCAGGCACCCGGTTATTGCTGAGGAGCTGCAGCATTTTTCCATCTTTCACTGGTCTTAAATAACCACTCAACTCTTTACCATCTGTTTTCCAAAAAAGTCAGCACCCCGTCTCTTTAACCTTCTCCTTTTTTGACAGGTACTGAAAATGGACACTTCCATAAGGTAAACATGATTGGTAGCTCATTTATCCTCCGTTTGAGGGTTGAAAATGTCGTGTGTGTCGCACTGCAGGTTCGGAGTTCCTGGTACCTGTCAGAGGATTCTTCTGCCTGCTGTGCAGAGAGTTTTATGGCGACGGCATCTGTGCAGAAGAGCATGTCACCACGCACGCTCACAACGAGAAGTATAAGGTTTGGAACTCAATGACTTAAGCATTGCCAAACATACAGAGATCTGCGCCACCTAAACCTTTAAAGGTGGTCAGGTCTGCCTTTCCTTTTCTTGATATAGATAAAGGATAGATATAAATAAAGCAACACTTCACACATCGGATCTCAGAGGATCCCTCCCCATCCTGGAAATCTGGACAGCCACATGGTTTAATGGAAGAGAAAATTATGAACCTTTATAGACGACTGAATTCAAAGACGTCAACAGTCAAAACGAAAAGGCTCGTTCATTATGCTGAAATTTCATTGCAGCACCTAAAAATGCTCCTCAGTTCTCATCCTGTACAAAGGAGCAGACATCAGCCCTGCTGTTGGGCTGATGAGGGGCATCTATGTCCAGCTTAGAGTAACTGCCTGTCACCTGGAATTTTCCCCATGCTCTAAAAAGTGTTGCTTTGAATTATTTGAGCAGTGTGTTTCTGGGGTTTGATCAATTCTGATGTGTAGATTGTAAGATTACATGTTTATATGTCAAGTGACCAAAGTGGACTTCAATATATATTCTTGACTCTTCCTCACCAGAAACAAATGTATGAGAACCCACTGTACGAGCAGAGGCGGAACCTGGACCGCCAGGCGGGACTGGCCTTAGAGGCAAGTGGAAAGAAACGCAAACATGATGACGATGAGAAAGGCAGCAAAGAGGAAAAGTCCAAACACAAAAAAGAGAAAAAGGAAAAGGAGAAAAAGAAAGAAGAGAATGCTTCAAAGGAGGACAAGTCCAAAATTAAAAAGGAGGAAGACGAGGATAAGCTGAAGGCAAGCAAAAAGGAAGATTTTAAGAATGCCAAGAGCCCTGAAAAGGAGTGGCCTTATTACAGCAAGAAAAATAATGATGAAAAGTACAACTACAGCAAGAAGGATGACAAGTACCATTACAGCAGAGAGGAAGACGAGAGGGACAGCCGGCACAGATACAGCAGGGATGAGGAATATCGGTACCATTACCGCACCGATGCTAATGACCGTCCCAAATATGGTTCAAAAGATGATGGGGACAAATTTAAAGGTGGCAAATATTCAGATGCCAGATCCAAATATGAGAAAGAGCGAGACGAATGCAAACCTAAACCTGAGAGGGAAGGTTTTAAAACGTTTGAGCCAGAGAAGCCGGCAGTCAGCAACCCCGAACCACTACCAAAACCCTACGAACCGCCCAAAATTCTTTGTGGCCCCAGTCCGGCCATGAGGGCCAAGCTCCGCAAGCAGAGCCTGGAGGCTGGCAAACCAACTACAGCAGCAACAACCACATTCGGAAAGTTCATTTGGAAGAAGAAGGAGAACGTGCTTGCAAAGGAGGCGGAGAAAGTTGCTGCAGAATTCATCAAAGAGGATGAAGCTGCTGCCAAGTCCCCTTCGGTGGAAGACTCTTTTGCAAAGTCAGTAGCTGTTGCCAAAGAGATCGCAGAGAAGCTGGGAAACAAACCAAGCGTATCTGCTCCCTGGATGTCCAACCGGGGACGGATCCGACCCAACCTCCCTACACCTGCTCTAGGTCTGAGGAAGCCAACCATGATGGGCAGACCTGCATCTCTGAATACCTTTCTGTCCATTAAACCCCAAAACCCTACTTTAGTAGAGTCTCTTCCAACAGAGGGCGCAGTACTCCCGCCTCCTCCCGTGAGTTCCGGAAATGGTCTGCTTCAGACTAAAATGGTCCCATACGTTGATAAACTTGGGCCATTTGAGGCAGTCCTTCCCCTGTTTCAGGTTAGACCTCCACCCGTGGTGCCTGTACCAGCTGAAGTTAAATCTACTCTGCCAGTTTTTGAACCTGCCCGAGTCCAGCCAAATCCTGCCCCTGCAGGTCTCACAACTCCTACACCTTCTAAATTTAATACTACTCCACCAGTTTTTGAACCTGCCCGAGTCCAGCCAAATCCTGCCTCTGCAGGTCTCACAACTCCTACACCTTCTAAATTTAATACTACTCCACTAGTTTTTGAACCTGCCCGAGTCCAGCCAAATCCTGCCCCTGCAGGTCTCACAACTCCTACACCTTCTAAATTTAATACTACTCCACTAGTTTTTGAACCTACCCGAGTCCAGCCAAATCCTGCCCCTGCAGGTCTCACAACTCCTACACCTTCTAAATTTAACCCTGCTCCACCAGTTTTTGAACCTGCCTCAATCCAGTCAAAGACTGCCCCTGCAGGTGTCACAACTCCTACACCTTCTAAAGTTAATCCTGCTCCACCAGTTTCTAAACCTGTCCCAGTCGACTTAAAGTCGGTCCCAGTACAGGCAAAACCTTTAACTTCTTTAGCTACCACAGCTACTCCAGCACAACCAGCCATGATAAAGATTGTGTCTGACGTGGCAGCTCCTGGTGTCCCAGAGGGTGAGCAGACTCGTACGGTGTTTGTCAAACCTCCACCTTTCATGAATAAGTGTGATGGAGCTCAGAAATCGGACAAATTTAGGAGCAACCTGGCTGCAGCCAGAGCCCAAGATTTATTTGGCATCTTCTACAGCAGCATCAGCCAAACGGGCCCCTCCTCCTTCAGCAAACCAGCATCAGATACTAGAGCTGAAGGCAGTAGTGGCAGTAAAAGTCCATTTCCAGTTCCAAAAGCCCTAACACCCCAACCACAGTCCAAACCACACCCAGAATTACAGCCCCAACCTGAGTCTCAGCCACAGTCCCAACCACAGCCCAAACTGCACCCTGAACCTGGGTCCCAGCCACAGTCCAAACCACAGACACAGCAACACCTTGAACTCCAGCCTGAACCACAGCCCAAGGCACAAGGTCTTACTCAGTTCCCACTTCCAAATGAACTCCAAAGATCTCCACAACGAAATCCAAATGAGCAGCCACAGAACCCACTGACCCCGACAAACTCAGGCATTCAAATTATGTCTGTCTGGTCCCTGCAGTCTGCCAAAGACTCCGCATCTGAGTTGGCTTTACCTAAAGAAAGAAACACGCAAATGGCTCAACCAAGAGTGTCTCCCCCGCTTCAGTGTGAGGTTCAGAGTGCACCTGAAGACCAGTCCGTGACAGCCAAATTGGATCCCCAAATCTTCCCAGAGAGTCAGTCTTCCAGACTGGAGTCCCAGCTCAAACCATGTCCTGAAAGTCAAATAGAGCCCCAACAGTCAGAATTAAGCAAGGTCAACGAATTCCATCCAGAGACTCATTCTGACACAGAACCTGAACCCAAACCAAAAACGGGTCCTAAAACCAGGGGTAAGAAAACCCCGCCTGCTCCTCGGCCAACCCGGCAAACCCGATCCCAAACAAGATACCAAACCCGACAGCAGCTGAACCAGAACCAGCCTGAACCAGAACCCGAGTCAGCTTCAGGTGACACTGATGCTGCAACTACAGACCCAAAGAACTTGGACGTGGTAGATCCTGGCTCTGTGTCGCAGCCAGAGGCTGAGGCGTCCAGTGAGGCGAACCCTCAGATTATGAAGATAACTGCAGAAACACTGGGCTTGCCCTCTGACATGACCTCACTGGACTTTGAATATGATTTTAACTTTGAGTAGGAGGCGACTGGGCTTTGTGACATGGGGGCGGGGTTTATTCTAACAGCTCGGCTATCCAGAAAGGCTGAAGCCACAATGTGTCACATAGTGGAGGGCATGTGAAAGTGACAAGATAGACACTCTTGCTGAGGGACTTCACCTGTCTAAAGGACCAGATTTATTTAGAGTTTAATTGAATTCCTTTCTTCACTGTTTTCTCCAGAATTTGTTTTTAGGTCTGATTGATCTCATAGAAACGTGTCCAGGACATTTGTCCTCACCCAGCAGTCTCCTAGCAGCTTTTGCTTACACTTCATAGGTTTCCAATAGACTAAAAGAAGAATTTAAATACTCAAACCTGTAAACTGCTTGATTTATGCCATTTCTGTTTAAATAACACAATAAACCTCTCTTTGATCATATTTGGCAGCTGGGACCGCTGGTGTGTTGCGTTTTGGAGTTGCATTTAATGAATAATGATTCCACCTAACAGGACTAGTGAGCTCATGTAGATGGCTGCCATCCGATCTACTGAACGAGAAACCTTATAAAATCAGAGCACTCACCCGGTCTGGTTGTGATTTGTTAGTTTTTAGTTACCGTGTACCTGTTGCTACCTGGCTCTAAATAATAAAAACACAATTGCAGACTTTCAGCCTGACCCAGTCTTTGAAATACATAAACCAGGCTCAGTCAAGCACAGTCTTTTATTGTAATGACACAACTTGTCCTTTGAGGCAGCAGAGTATCTGTCTGAGGTGCTCTCTCTTGAAAGTGGAGATGCAGCTGACAATGATGAATATTTGGATGAGTCTGCTAAGACTCCTGTGAATTTCCGTACTCTGAGGTGAACCTGGAACACTTTGTAATCCTTGAACCCTTTCACAGTTCATCTGGACCGACTGTTTGGTTTCACCTCATTTCTGCTTCTTGTCACAGGAAATGTTGGCCTAGAACCTTTCGGGAAATAAAAGATTCCTGAAGTCAAAAAAAGCCCAACAAAGTTCAGACAGTTCATCCCAGGGACATTTCTTAAATTTTCAAGCCATCAGTGTATTTATTTTTTTATAGGCGACCTTTCTGTTGTTGATCTCAGACTTGCTGGATGTCTTCCCCTGTGTAACTGGTCTGAACTGAATCATCTGTCTCAGAATAGATAAATCTGTGGCTGGGAAATGCTAGAAAAGAACCTGTGACCTGGACCTCAAATTTCCTGAACCTACAGAGAATATGGCATCTCAGAACACGAGGTGAGGCTTAATTTAGCAACCAGATCGTCAAAAGTTTCTTAGTGTCTGGGAAATATGTCAATGTGAAGGTGAAGATCTGAGTCATGGTCCTTTCACTGGTTCTCAGTGTTTGATCCAGCTAACCCAGATTAACTCACTGTAATGTACTAAATTTGTGGTTAACCTGTTTAAGAACTTGCAGATGAGAGGCTGTAATCCCATTTAGGGTCTCAAACAAATGGTTGTAAAGCAGAGTGTAAATTACTAAAAGGAAATGTTGTTCCCTCATCACCTGTTGAACGGCCTCTTACAGATGAAACTGATGGTTGGAAGACTGCTCCTTCAAAGAGCACAGTGTAGTTTTGGGCGGTTCACGGTTAAGGCCTCGTTTCATCCTGTTTCGACCTCGGAAAGCTTGTTCTGATGCTCCTAAATGAAACAGTTACTGGAACTGCATCGGATGTTCTTCATTCATCGTGTCTGAAACTGCTCGTTCTGTAATGTGTTAAAGTTTTAATAAAAGGAGAAACTCCAGCATGTCTCTGTGGGCTCATTACAAGGGAAAGAAACTTTATTCAATCAAAATCGGGACAAAATCGGAACACACGGGGGACGCTTGGCTCAGGTTTAAGTACTTCTACAGATAAAAGGCAAAAATCTGATTTATTATTAAAATATTAATAGTTATATATTATTAATAAAGTTCTGAGAGCCTAATGTCTTGGATGATTGTAGAGTATAAAGCAGAAGGAAATTCTGACCCAGATTAGTTTGAGATATTCTCTCTTATTTACTTTGTATTTGAAGGTTTGGTGAATAATCTGCAGCGATTAAGAAACCTTCCAGAGATTCTTGCAGCCAGAGTTGGGTCAACTCTAGAAGTGTCAAATCTGAGAACCGTGCAGTGGCGTCCATGCAGAGGTAATCGGGGACAAGTCCAAATACTCAAGCCGATCATACGATCATTAAACTGCAGTTTGTGACCCAACGGGGCTCACCTGTCTCAGGTAAAGTCTCTGATTGAGCCTGTCTCCATGTTGGGGGGCATCTACAGTGTTGGGGAGTAATGGAATACAAAATATGAGTAACTGTATTCTGTTACAGTTACCATTTAAATAGGTGATAATTAGAATGCAGTTACTTTAAAATAAATGGATTACATAGTGGTCGTTTCCTTTTTCAAGTGTTAGGCTGTGCCCTATGGAACGCCAGGACTGCCATAATGAATTAATTAAATACACCATTAAATAATTAAAATGGGAAATTAATTAAAAATGTTTTTGACACATTTAATTATTGCCACATTTAACTAATTATTTAATGGTGTATTTAATTAATTAATTTTGGCACAGTTGACTCCTTCAGGTCTCACCATGAAATAATTTTATCTGTCAGCCTCACCCATCAAACTCAGGGGGCGGGGTTAACGCTGATCGAGTCAAAACCATTGCTTTGGCCTGGTGGCCATTGTTTCTAGCACACAACAACCGGCATGTGGAAGCTAACAGAACTGAGCTTTGAAAAACCCTGTTTGTGTGTCACCAAATACCGTTTTAATATTTTTTTAGCCGAGAATGTAGTGGTTTAATCTTCATGTGTCTGGTCGGTTTGTCAAGATACAGCCTCTTTGCAAAAGTGCTTCGATGATTTCGGAGATGTCTGCCCAGTCTCACGGCAAAGCGTGGGATAGACCCGCTCGCCTCGCAATCGAGCTTTCATTACCACCGACAAAGCGCTGTAATAACCCCCGCTGACACTGACTTCATTTACTGAGGTTATATTTATCGGGATTTTATTTCCTGATTCTTATGTGTCCTACGTGTTTCAGTCGCCAATTCTGAATTATAACTAACATTAAAAACATGTTTAAGGAGGAGAGAGAGCAAATAAATCTGTTTAACATCTGATCTTTGGGTTTTTGTTCAGTAATCAGCGTGACCTGTGTATAAACGCATAAAAGAGATAACGTTGGTGTTTCCGTCATGTAGTAACTGCTGGCTTTAACTGTACAAAGGTTGTTCGACACTATGAAACACATACAGACTTCATGATGTTCGGCTAATATTTTTATTGTGAATATTAATCATGAGGGTAAACCCTACCCTAACCCTGTCATTTACCCTTACCTGTATATTGTATATTGCATAGCTTTCTTGTTAATTTGTATTGTATTTATTTAAATTTTTACTTTTTAATTATTTTATTTGCATTTTTTAATCACTCTCTTATATTTAAATGTTCATTTGCTATTTCATCTAGGGTTTGAGAGTAACGAAATTTCTATTCTCTGTATGTCCTGTACATGTGGCAGAATTGACAAATAAAGTTGACTTTGACTTTGACTAAATGGCCCTGTACACCACGGAGCGAGGTCAGCATGTCCACGATATCTTCAGCTCTCTGAGTTAACCCATCAAACTAATCTAACTGTCATCTACGAATATGTCACGGGTCATATCAATATGATTTTACAGAAAATCATCCTTATTACTGCCAACTATTCCAGAGACGTGAAAATCTACAGCATAAAGAACAAAAAAATATAGCAGTCTAACGCAACACTGTAACAGAGATGAACCGTCAGTTTGTCGCAGATCAAAGTGGAATGAAAGTGATTGGTTGAACAGGTGTTCATGATTTGTGTTATCTGCATTTTCATCAGCGTTTAACCCGAGTGACCACCCGGTCAGCTGGTGGGTAACAGGCATCTCCGAAAACGTTAGAGCACTTTTGCAAATATGTGATGTCTTGATGAATCGAGCAGATATTTGAAGTTTACACAGCAACATTCTCGCATGAAAATATCTTAAAAGTTTATTTTGTGACCCAGAAAGAGTAATATTTCAAACTCCGCCACTCTGTGTTCCTCCGCCACTGCCTCGTTTGAGTTTTGGACGAAATGGATTCTGGGATATTGCATTTCGTCATTTCGAGCTGATTGGAGACCAGAACAGCCAATCAGATTTTTTTGCATCCAAGTCTGTGATTGGCTGGTTTTGTGGCACAAATATAACGGTGTACAGAAAGAGTGATGGTAAATGATTCTTTTTCTTTCAGTTCAGAGCAGAAATTTTTTTGTTAAGATACTGGATGTTGTGTTTTTCTCCACAATTTTAATTATAAGCTAGATACATTGCTGCTAACAGCAACAGGGATGAGTCAGTGAGTCAGTTGGGCTTGTGAATCATGATTCATGAGTCAGTAAAGTGATTCTCGAGTATTGAACGATTTGTTCATGATTCGCGCATCACTAACAGAAAGAGTTGAGCGCCCACATGCAGAAATGTTACGATCACATTGCGAGCGAGCGCAAATGCAAAAACTGAGCGAGAGGGGCTGCTATTGTGTGTGTGTGTGGATAATAGCAAACACTGAAATACAGTTTTTGCACGCAGCAATGAATTTTGTTCACTCAAATTCAGCTTTTCTTCGCTCAAAATAAATTTCTCCTCAAAATGCAACACTTGCACCTGCAAACTTTTTTTTACGTGCGCTCAAATTATAGTGGCACAAAAATAACGCCATATTCGTCGCCACTGTGAGTTAATCGGCCTTAAAGCAGGTAAGCAACACATCGCACCTGGACAAGAGCAGCCAAGATGGCGACCGAGGTAGATGCTCTTCTCCGTGGCTAAGCAGGATTTTGCAGTTTTACTTCCCTTTCAGCCGTCGTTTTTTCTCTGAATCACAAATGAGTTATCCTACTGACTGTTTATTCAGTACACGTATGCGGCACTTCTAAGTAACGGCTTCCTGAACCATACTTCAAAGGACTTTTTCGCGACCCTAGCCTCTTTGCAAAGCGATAGCTCAGCTAACAGCAGGAAAGCTCTGTTACCTCAGCGATGTTTCCAACAACTCAGGGTAGCAAAAGGAAGGAAAAAGAAACACCCATGAAATTTAAAAGTCTAACCAAAGGAGCAACCAAGGAAATGGAGAGAAACACAGGTGTAGCTGGCTCAAAAACCAGCCCCAAGAATGCCGTGACTGCCGAACATGACTACAACCGCAGCAAAAGTCCTGAACTGATGCCACTCCCGGACTCGGACCCCGATACTCCAGCCAGACCAGATGGTAAAAAACACAAAGGTGATATAACTCTTGCTGATGTGCAAAACAACATTGCTACTTCAATTAATAAGCGCTCAGATAATCTGGAGGCTATGATCAGCAAGAATACTGTTAACATCGAGGCCATGAAGAAGTCTATTGACACCATGTTCTTGGAAGTACAATCTTTGAAGAATGTCACCAAAACCGTTAAAGCTACTTGTGAAAAAAACAGCAGCAGAATGTCTCAAGTAGAACTGAAGGTCAACGAAGTTGAAAGATAACATCGGAGATGGAATCTCAGGCTCTCAGGTGTCCCTGAGCAAAAGCAAGAAGGCATCACCAGAAAAGTACTTGACATCTGCTGCACTGTTGCCAGGGAAACGAGTGCAGGATTCAAAAACAGCATTGATGTAGTTCATCGCCTGGGCCGCTACAGCGAAACTCAGAAGAAACCAAGGCTGGTTATCATTCGATTTGTGACAAGATCAGCTCGTGACCTGATCTGGAGGAAAGCTAAAAACTGCTCCTTTCTGAAAGAAAACTACATGAGGTTCACTGAAGATCTGTCCTCTGCCGACAGAGCAATTCGAGAGAAGCTTTGGCCTCTTATTGATGCTGCAAGGAAAGAAGGAAAAAGAGCTCACTTTGCCGGGGTCCGTGTGATCATTGAAGGGAAAGAGGTGCACCCAACGCACACTTCGCCTGAGGATCATGCTGCACCTGCGTTGATGGAGGTTTCATGCCCTGCTTGAGGTATAAAGTTACAGATGTCAAAGGAGTTATTTACAATTTTGAGGTTCAGGATAAAAGTTAATACCAGTTCCATGTTAACTATGGGTAAACTGTTCATTATTTTGTGTTAAAGCCGCACTGTCTATATCACTTTGTTCTCTCAATGTCACCGGTTTAAGAGACACTGTTAAGCGAAAAGCTTTGTTTTTGTTTGCAAATCAACAGAATACTGACTTTGTTTTTTTTCAAGAATCACACTCTGTTATTAAGGATACTGCTTTTTGGAAAACACAGTGGGGCAAGGACCTATGGTTCTCACATGGATCAGAAAGATCGGCAGGAGTTATTACTCTGAAGAACAAATTTAATGGGAACGTTATACACTCTGAAATGGACTCGGAAGGACACTATGTGTTAATGATAGTCAACATTGATGGTACACTTCTTCTTCTTCTTGCCAACGTGTATGGTTTTAATTCTAAGTCTGATAATGACTTCTTATTGGATGCCCTTGAAACACGCTTTTCGTTCTGGTTATCCAAATACCCGAATCTCCTGTTATTAGTTGGAGGCGATTTTAACATTGCTCCACATCCTTCACTAGACAGATGGCCACCTAGCTCAAATAACTCTTCGTCTTT